CCAAGCATGATGAGGTCATTGAAGAATCCACTGATTGACGTAGGCCATCATAGAGTCTCCATTTCATGGGCACATGGTGAACCTGGCTTGGCCTGCTGGGGCTCCAGGGCTGCTTCCTTCGGGGTGAGTACACCGACCGAGCGGGGAGGTATCTGGAGCTGGGCTAGGCAGGCCCATCCGCCACTCTCATTGGGCGGCGGATGGGATTGGGGTGGAGAGCGACCTTGGGCCTGGGCGCTTACACCTCCCGTCGCCTCTCGGCAGCGGGTGGGTCCCGGGACAGGGCATCTCATGCCCAGATCCCATACGCCTGCCATCATGGGCACATGGTGAACCGGGCTTGGGCAGCCAGGGCACCATTTGGTGCCAGGCTTTGCCTGCTGGCCGCCCGGCAGGGGAGCTCTGGGATTTTGGTGGTTTGAATTGCTGCTTATGTGGCTCCACGTTGAACCCGATGTGTTTCTGCGAGGTGAATACATCCTAAAGTTTCCCAATGACAGTTACTCTTCCTTTAAAGAATGTGTTACCACTTAGCAATGCTGACCACCAAATACCAGTTCATGCTAAAGCTTTGGCACGGGTCTTGTCCAGTAGACACACTAACTGGATTAAGGCTACCGCCAAGGAGCATGTGGGCTGGAATGGGGGCTGCGTTCTGATCAGGTAACAGTGAAATCCCCCTTGGCACAAGTGTGGACTGGGACTGGACACACCAGGCTGGACAGACCCCAGCACTGTCTGGTGCTCCTGGAGGACCAGGATAGACGTGGGACGGACTAGGCTAGGTCGCAACCCCTACTGAACCATGTGTGAGCCGTATGTGGGAATGGACTGGACGAGCCATGGCTGAGCTGAAATATCCAACAACAAGAACCAGCTTGGGTCAAAAGCTAGTCAGGAACTGAGTAGGGCTGGCTCATGGACCCACTGGCATGCGCAAAATCTGGCACTGGGAGAGGTTCTGATGGAGGAGCCTGGGCAACTCCTCTGGCAGGACACAGACCCCACGGGTAAGCGCAAGAAGCATGAATGGAAATAGCCCAGAGCAGGCCACAAGAAGTTTCCCACTGGCATACATTAGGCATGGATTGGGGGCCGACCAGGCTAATCAGTTAACGTCATCACTGGCAAATCCGAGCACCAGAACAGAGTAAGGGTTGAGCCAGGTTTGGTTGCGATAAAAACCAGTTCACACTACAGAATGCCAGGATGAGGTTGACTGTGCCAGATGTGACTGCAGTGCCCATCCAGCACATGTGAGAAACAGGAAGGGAGGGGACAGAGCCAGCGGGGGAATAAGGGGTGGTTCCCCTGCTGGACAGCTACTCCCACTGGAGAGCATGAACTGGGATGGGGGCAGACCAGACTAAGCAGGGCTACAACACCTGTGTGCCTCATGTAGCCTAGATCAGGGAAAAGCCAGGATGGGTGGATTGTTCTTATGGGTGCAACCTACAATTAGAATGGGAGAGGGCTGTTTGGGCATAGCCGTAGCATCAGCTGGCAGAAACTGGCACTGGGGGCTAATCCTGTCAAGTTAAACTGCAGAACCACCTGGAAAGTGCACAATCCGGGAGTGAGAGACCTGGGAGGGAAATAGTGGGTTCCCCCCTCTTGGGTTACCACTCCCACAGGAGGGCACGAGAACTAGGACAGGGGCTGGGGTAGCTAGACAGAGAGGCACTCAACCACACCCGTGAAGGCTTGACTGTTGAGCTGGTTAGATAGATCCAAGCTTCAATGCCATTTGCCATGTATGAGAGCCAGGGGGGATGTGGGACAGATTGAACTGGTCTGCCACACATATTGGCAAACCAGGGTAGGGGGTGGGCCTGGTGGGGGTTATTGTGGGCCGCTCTCATCAGGATGCAGCTCCCACTGGTTTCGGTGAAGACCGAGTATGTGCTGTGCAGAACCAGGCTGGACTGCAACACCCATTGGTTCCAGTAGAAGGCGGGGCTGAAAACACAACCAACCCAGCAATTGCAACTACCAGCTGACTGGGTGATGGACTGTTCTGGGCCCTGTGCTTGCTGGTGCATGCAAGTATCTGGCCTGGGAACACCTCAGACGAAGTTTCTTTGGTGATCTCCCCAACTGAAATGCCAGACTCAGAACCCAAACCATGAAGGGACAGAAGATGGAACAAGTTAATCAACCACCTCAGCAACAAAATACCGGGCAAATAGAGACGCTATGATGGACAATGTCAATTAATGGATTTTTCAACAACCTCATCGTGTTTGGAGAGGCAAGATTGGCAACAATTTCAAAACTGGTGACCTATTGAAACCACTTCAATGAGCATCTCGGAGCATGCCCCACATGCGGGACTTGGGGTGGGTGGGAAACCGGGTAGGGCTTCTCCCTCAATATCCCCCTCTACCTCAGATATATGAAGGAAACAATATGGAAATAATAGTCTTACCCACTTTCCTGTAGCCCTTGACCCTTTTTGCCCAAATTAACTATGTAAAGATTGACAAAATAAAAACAATTATTATTTAAAAAAAAATAGAGTCTCCATTTGCTTAGTTTTTTGCTGCCAACACATGGCTGAGATGGTTGATTGACTTGTTCTGTCCTCTGTCTTTTCTTGGTTAGGGTTCTGAGTCTGGCAGTTCGATTGGGGAGATCCCCAAAGAAACTTTGTGTGAGGTGTTCCCAGACCAGATTCTTGTGTGTACTAGCAAGTACAGGGCCCGGTACAGTCCATCGCCCCATCAGCTGGTGGTTGCAATTGCCGGGTTGGTTCTGTTTCCAACCCTGTCTTCCACACAAACCAATGGGTGTTGCAATCCATCCTGGTTCTGCCCAGCACATACTCAGCCCTCACATAAACCAATGGGATTCGTAGCCTAGTCGGAGTGACCCACACTAGCCCTCACCCAGGCACCGTGGGGTGGGCTTTGAACTCAGGCCTCTGAGGTGGGCTGTGAGAGTGTAGGGACTGTCTTAGCTGCCAGACCAGACGCCTGTCCCTGGCTGATGACTTCATAGTGTGAATGTGGCCATGACAGGGACACCCACAAGTGACATGTCCCAGAATGTTACAGATACTTCCTTGAGCTGACATTGGGGCGTTAACCTGCACCCCTTGTCTGAGGTGGGGCCTGTGGGCTTTGCCCCTGTGAAGGGCCTACTCTTCCTTTCTGCAGCTGCTGAATGCACCCGACCCTAAAGGGCCTGTCAGGGCCACTTGCTGGAACTTGGAAAGGTGTGACCTGCAGGAGGTGGTCCAGAGCAGTGGAGATGCTGGTTCCCTTGGATGAATTCAACTGTCATGGCCATGCCATAGGCAGTGTGGAGAAGCCAGCTGCGGTGGAGTCCTGAACTTAGAGCCAGCTGCGACAGGCCAGGATGGGCACCTCCAGAGGTGGCAGGGATGGGGACAGTGCATGGGGCCTGGGCAAGGCAGAGGACACTGAGGATCTCCAGGGAGGTCAGGAAGGAACCACACGGCAGGTGGAGGTGCCCAAAGAGGTGGAGGTGGGCACACGGCACGGAAGCCAGGACTGGGGCTGGGGGACGCTGCTGCCTGCGGAGGTGGGAGGGGGTGGTGGGAAGGGCTAGAACCCAAATCCGGTAAGATGTCTGTTTTCCCCGAGGAGCAACAGCTAGAAGTGTGTATTCAGGTAACAAGGAGGATGAATGCAGGACTCCACATCCTGGCTCTGTCCCCAGCAGCTGCTGGCCACCCGGAGAAGGTGGGCAAGGTGTATCTGGATGAGCCAGGGCTGGGATTCCTGGGGAAGAGGCTGGACAAGGCAGACCAGAGGGGGCCAGGACCGCCTGGGGAGAGCCAGCGACATGTACAGGGCCAATCCTGTAGTGTCAGGGCAGGAGTGTGGAGGTGGGGCATAGTGGTCGTGGGAGGCCCTGGGTGGCTGGAGGGATGGAGGACAGGGGCCACAAGGGGGGAGTTGGTGGAGGTGGTCATGAGCCAGGGCTGCCAGGATTACAGGCATGGGACATTCCTGCATGCTGGCATGGTGCAGGTGACAGCAAGGAGGCCACTCCACTGTGACCTTTGTGAGTGCGAGGGACAGAGTGGCCAGCTGGGGAGAGGGCCGAGGGCCAGCTGGGTGTTGTTCAGAGGCGGGAGGGAGATGGGCGTCAGTGGCTCAGACCCAGAATTTGTTGGGTTGGGTCAGGATGTGAACTGGCAGGTGCAGGGCAGAGGGAAGTACGATGGGACTTAGAAACCCACCCACCCACCCTACATCAGGAAGTGGTGCCCCTTTCTGCACTGGGCAGGGGGTCAAGCCCAGCACCACCCTCCCCTGTAATCCCCTGTAACCCACAGGAATGAGGGAGCCGCAGAGGGTCCCAGGATGGGCACTCTTGGCAGGTCTGCTGTGGCTAGGAGGGAGGGAAGCAGTTATAGGCAGGCCTCAGACCCAGCCCCCTGGGGTCTAGGGGTGAGATGGCAGGGGGTTCCTTCTCGGCCCCTCTAGCTCTGCGGAGGACACTTCCCCTACTCCTATTGGCACTAAGAGGGGGTGTGGGTCCCAGTGGTGCCGTCCCTCCATCTGTGTCTGCTTGCCTCCCTTTGCAGGTACGGGCAGGCTAGGGTCTGTAAAGGAGGAGCGGGCCTGGGGAATGGCCATCTGAAGCTCACACTTTAGTGTGAAATAGTTGGCTGCCTCCTTTACTGGGAAAGGGAAGCAGGCCTTGTGTTAGAGGGAAGGGGCATGTCTCATGGGTGCTGCCTGGGGAGGCAAGGGGCACCCACTGGGGTCACATCACCGCCTCCTCCCCACAACCTACTCAGCCTGCTGGGCGGTTCCATTCCTCCCAGCACAGAATTCCTGCACAGAGGCCTGGGCGCCACGGCAACCAGGGGAAATAAACACCGCCGTGCTCACAGTCCAAGTTCTGCCGTGATGTCATCTGCCGCCGGGCGCCCCAGTCAGCCCCAGCTGCTCAGGCCGGCGGACTGGCCTCCTCCCCGCCCCCACACAGCAGCCTGTGGCTCAGTCCTCTTCCAGGCCCCAGCCATGAAGCCGCGCAGGGGGGCTGGGAGCTGCACCCCGAAGCCAGAGAAGAAGGCCCCTGCGTCTGAGTGGCAGGGCGTAAAGCAGACCCCCATCGTGTTGGCCCTGATCAAGGGTGCGTGAGCATTCCAGGCCCCTGGCCATCCGCCTTCTTTCTCTTCCTCCTAGAACTGCCACCTGCTGGGTTCTCAGAGCCTCCCGGAAGCCATGCCCCCGCTGAGCTGTACTCCCTAGGCAGCTGCTGGGATGGACCATGGCTTGGAGCTGGAGTGGAAGAGCAGGAAGGGGGGCGGGGCGCACAGGGTCTTCTACTTGGGAAAAAAACCAGGAGCCTGAGATCTAGCCCCAGCTTCTCAATGAAGAGCAAGAATGAAGAGAAGTTCATTCTTCCCCCATTGTTAATGGTTGACTGGCTCAAAATGGACAGGGGTGTTTCTTGGGAAGGCACGCAGAAGAAAGATCTTCCATCCTCTGGTTCACTCCCTTGGGCCGGGCCAGGCTGCAGCCAAGAGCCAGGAGCTTCTTTTGGGTCTTCTATGTGAATGACAGGGGCCCAAGCACTTGGGCCATTCTCTACTGCCTTCCCAGGCACCTCTGCAGTGAGCTGGATGGGAAGTGGAGCAGCAAGGACATGAACCAATGCCCATATAGGATGCAAGAGCTGCAGACAGAGGTTTAACTTGCTATGCTACAGCGCCAGACCACAAGTTCATATTTCTGAGCCTTGATGCTGTCAACTGTAAATTGGGACAGACAGGAATGCCCACCTTCAGTGGAGCGATCTCTTAAGTCTTCCGTGCAGTCCTTGGCAGCCCCCCCCCCCCCCCCCCCCGCCTTATCCACCAGGCAGCTCGCCTGGGGAAGCCTACCGCCCTCTGCAGGAAGCCGCCTTGTGGGGTAAACTGTGGAGTTTGTGGCAGGGCATCATGAACCAAGATCCCCCATACTCTTAACAGTTCACTGTGCTGGTGTTGAGGGTAGGACTCCCTGCCCCTGATTCTATCTGCATGCCCAAGCTGAAGACTGCCCCCATCGATCCGTCCATCTGTCTGTCCTCACAGGCCCGGGACCTGCCCGCTACCTGCGGCCATCCTGCACAGGTTATGTGGGTCATGACGCCTCCATGTTCTGCGAGCCGGCATATACGCTACATACCAGGCACTCAGACAAGCGTGAGTGCTAATGGCCCCTGTGTGGCCTGGGGGGCCCTGGCCAGGGGTGGGGATGCCAGCAGCAGGTTGCATGGTAGGGGTGGGGTTGGGGAACTCCTTGTGCAGGCCACTCAGTGGAAACTGCAGCCCCTGCCGCCCCCCAGCCAGGTATCCCAAGGGGCAGGGTCTCCAGCCCTGTTGGACTTGCATCCTGACCGCATGTCCTGCTGACTTGGTGTGCATGTGGGGGCCCGCTATGGGGAGCTGAGCCCTCCTCGGTGGGAGAGCTCCCTAGCCCCCTGGATCTGGCAGTGTCCACAGTGGCTGTCATTTGCCCTGGCCCCAGGCCCCGAGGGTGTGGCGCTGGTCGAGCTGCCACAGCTGTCCCTCTGCTCTTCTGAGTGAGCTCTGTGGGGAAGGGCAGATCTGGGGTGGGAAGCTCCCTAGTGATGTTCCTGTGGCAAGGGAGCCCTGAGGTGGGCAGGGAGGTGGGGAGGGACAGGGCACTGGGGCTGACATGACCCTGTTCTGGCTGCCTGGCAGGGATCTCGGATGTGTGCAGCCCAGGCCCCGGGTACTTCTTGGATCCCAGAATAACTCGCTTTGGAATGTCCAGCTGCTCCCAGGTCCCCATGGAAGGGCGTGTTTGCAACCTGCGTAAGAAGGGACTGCTGGGGAGGGGGAGGCTGAGGGCCACCCTCCTCCCTGAGGAGGCCTAGGGTCATCATGCCCTCCCAGGCGCCTTGAAGCGTCTCATCAAGATGCCAAAGCTGTGATGTGAACTCTGCTGCCTCCGAAGTCTGTGCCGGCAGGAGACGCTGTGGATCCCAGAGCCAGTGCCGGCAGGCAGCGCTGTGGATCCCAGAGCCCATGCCAGCAGGCGGCGCTGTGGATCCCAGAGCCCATGCCAGCAGGCGGCGCTGTGGATCCCAGAGCCCATGCCAGCAGGCAGCGCTGTGGATCCCAGAGCCGGTGCCAGCAGGCGGCGCTGTGGATCTCAGAGCCAGTGCGAGCAGGCGGCGCTGTGGATCTCAGAGCCAGTGCCGGCAGGCGGCGCTGTGGTGCTGATGAGCCAGGGACAGTGTGAGGACATTGGAGGCCCAGCAATGCTATGGTCACGCTGCCAGGTTTTACTTGTGCTTTCTTGCCCCTTTATCTATCTATTTGCAAAGCCTGGGTGACAGCAGCTGGGGAAGAGAGAGAATCTACCATCTGCTCCTTCACCTTCCCCAAACCTGTAATAGCTGGGTCAGGCTAAAGCCAGGAGCCAGGAATTCCATCCATGTCTGCCGGGGGGGGGCGGGTAGCAGGGACTCAGCTACTCGAACCATCACTGCTGACTCTCAAGGTGCAGTAGCGGGGAGCTGGGTCAGAAGCAGAGCAGGGGCAGAGGGGTGTCACTCAGTCCCAGGCACCGGGCATACCACAGTTGACCAGCTGTGCCAAAATGCCACCTCTTGCTTACAGTCTGACCTTGCTGTCACATTCCTGTCCCTCTCCTTGCCTGTAGCCTCTTATGGCAGCTAGGGACATGGTGTCCACACCCTGCCTCTGAAGCCACACAGGGCCAGCTGAGACTCTGTGGGTCCCTCCCCTCTCTGCTCCCTTGCAGGCCTGAGTCCCATTCCAGCACCTTGCCATTACCAGCACGACCAGGGCGCCCCTCCGGCGGAGCGTCGGGCTCCCCAGTATACCTTTGGCCAGCGATGTCCATACCGAGTGATGGACCCCAACCCGGCTCCTAACCGCTACCAGCTGCCCGTCTTGCTGGGGCCCCACACCCCCGTGCACCGAGCTGCACCCTGCTACAGTCTGGCCTCCCCGGACAAGAACTGGTTCTACAAAGAGGACGTGGCTGGAGGTCCTGGGCCCGCTGCACACGCCAGGCCTGAGCCCTCTGTCTACCTGAACCGCAGCCCAGTTCACCGCATGGCAGAGCGCTTCGCCTACCCACTGGACCACACAACTCGGCCTGGCCCCGGCTCCCACAACGTCCAGCAGGTGACCGTGCATAAACCTCGCACCCCGGCCTTCAGCATGGGCGTGCGCCACTCGGCCCACCTGTGTCCGCTGGTGGTCGACATCCGTGACTGAGGCCCCGCCCCCACCCTGCCCCCTCCCAGAGTTTATTTTTCTACACTTGAGAGTCAAGCTACTGAGCCAGGATCCACGGGGCCGGCCTAGTCCTGCTGCCGCATCCAGCATACAGAAGGCATTAAGATAATATTTTCCTGTATTGCTCCTGTGGTTTTACATTCCTACCACTTCCTTGAGGCCCTGCACTGGGTGCAGGTAGTGGTGGTAGTGGTGGTGGGGCCGGTGGTGGTGGCGGGGCCAGGGCTGGTCTCTGCCTTATGGAGGGGGTGACACAGGGGGGCGAGGAAGCCAGGAGCACCTAACCCTGGTCCTAACTCCACTACTGCAGGTGGCAGGATCTCGCCCAGTCCTAGGTTCCCTGGTGGTGGTGGTGGTGTGGGGGATGAGAAACCCTTGGAAAGAGGGGATAGTGAGTGGGGGAGGGTAAAGGCACAGGAAGAGGTGGGAGAGGAAACTGCAGGGTTGGGGTACAGGGCCAAGGTCTGGGTACAGAAGAAGGTGCAGGAGGTAAGTCTGACCTTCAGGACTAGAGGGTGGGCAGCTTGCGGGGGGTGAGGGGCCTGGGACCCTGTGCACAGCAGGGATGCTGTGAAAGCCACTGGCCTGCCAGGCTCATTAAAGGAAGAACCTTAGAATAGCCAGGAGGGGGCAGTGTTGACTCACTCTTGAAGCCCAAGCCTGTGCCCATCAGCCCTTGCTTGGTTCCACTCTGGCCTGGCTGCTTCGGGGCAGCTCTCTGGTTGGGAACTGGGGGCTCTCTGGAACAAGGCCTTGTGTTTGTCACTCTTAGCATCCAGCTCCCTCCTACCTCTGGTGCCCTCTGCAGGGTCTGGCTGGCATGAGATGTGGAGGAAGCTGAGGACGGCTGGGAGGGGGCAGGGAGGGAGGATGGCTCAGGCACAGGTGCATCCTGTGGTCCACAGCCCCTGTCCAAGGGGCTAGGCCAGGCTCAGCAGCTTGGGCAAGTGTCAGGCATGAACTAAAAATGGGGAAATAAGAGCTAGTTCTGAGCAGCGGAAAGGGGGGTGGAGATTATCTTCAGAGCGTTATTATTATTATTCTTTGTAAAATGGAGTTTGCAGAAATCCCACGGGAGGCTGTACCTGCCTCGGCCCATTCCTGTGCCATGTCTGGTCCCTCTTCCTGCCCTTCCTCTCATCCCCGCATGCTCTGTGCCCAACAGCTCTGGTCTGGGCTGGCTAGAGAGAGAGCCGGGAGCCCCTGGGACCCATCTGTCTTGCAACAGATTAGGAAGATGTCACTTTGCCGACAACGCCATTTATCACGGCGGCTGCAAAAATTAGTGATGCCTGGGCTGAGCGTGTCAGGTGGGGGCGGGGACTGGCAGGTGGCAGCTGCCCAGGCTCCTTTGTGTCATTGGGCAGGAGCCATGGGCCTGTGTTGGTGCAGGGGTTTTCTGAGGTGGCGCCTGGCCCAAGCCACCTTTCACTGGAATGCCAAGATCAAGACCCAGAATATAGGAGTAACTTGATCATGTGACAAAGTAACAGGGTCTTTAAATAAGGTCAGGGCTGAGGGTGTGAGCAGGGTCCGTGTGTGAGTGAGGGTGTTCCAGCTGGGCAGCCTACAGAAGGTCAGTCTGATGTGGCCTCCTGACCCTGGCCTCTCTCAACAAGCAACCATCCTAAACTGACCTTGTAGGACCAGAACTTCTGTTCCAGTGTCTGTAGGTTCTTGGGGTCCTGTTGCTTGGCCCCTCAGTTCCAGGCACCCCAGTTCCCTGGATCCTGACCCCAGGGCTTGGGGTGGTTTCACACACTTCCCCCTGACCCCGGCTGACTGTGCACAGTCACTTGTGCCTTCTGCGAGGGTCAGCAGCAACAGACACACACACACGGACAGGAGCTCGGGCACACACCTGGCACAGCACAATGCATGGCACACCTTCCACTGCACCTTGCCCCTTGTCGCCTGTGCACCCACCCCTGGTCCCAAGCCATGAGACTGCCACACCCACCCAGCCACATGCACATGCATGCAGAGGGGGCAGGGTGGAGAGGGTCCCCTGTGTTCATGCAGAAGCTGGGGGTGATTCCCAACCTGGCCACAGAGGCCAGGGGCAGCTCCTGCTGGCACCCCTCCTGCTGGGATGTGCACTTCTGGGTGGTGATGAGGTGCCACCCACAAGGACACGGTCCCTAGGACTCAGAGACGCCCACTCCAGGGGCTGCAGCAGGAGCTGCTGCTGCCAGACCATTGCGGGAATGCGTGGATACTGGCACGAACACAGCCCTCCGGTCCTGCTGAGACCGAAGCCACAGCTCCTGCCCCTGGTGGTGGGCACCTGCCCTTCTTGTCCCCCCCCCGGGCTCTCCAAGTCCTCCTGCATGGTCTCCCCTGCCACCCTTTTCCTCTCCCCAATCCCGGCATTCCTCTGCCATTCTTATCCTTTAGAACAGAGATCGACATTTTCAATTACTGCACAGATAGGCTCTGGCCAGAGGATGGCCATGCGCATGCGTGTGTGTGCATGTGTGGTAGGGGGTGCTTGTGCGTGGGGGAGGACCCCTCGAGTTGCGGCGGGGGACAACCGTTGTCCTGTGTGTGTGTGTGTGTGTGTGTGTGTGTGTGTGTTTTGCCTCTTCAGAGCTGTCCTCTCCACCCAGGGGGTTGGAAACAGGCTTTCCTCTGGGGAGAGAGAAGTGTGTGGTGCCGTGGGGGCTCAGCAGGGGTGAGGAGCTGAGCCATAGGGGTGAAGGGATGGGAGAGAAGTGTGGGCAGGTGGAGCAGGAGGAGGGTTGGCTCCACTGCTATCCCCTGAACCCACAGCCTGTGCCTGGAGACGCTGGGAGGGTCGCACGTCTCTGGCCTCCTGAGTGACAGTTTGCTGCGAGCAAAGCAAGGGCCTCGCCTTGTGTGAAACAACCGGAGGCTCTGGGCGTGTAACCTGCCCCGGGGATGGACGCCCAGCGGCGGAGAGGGGCCCAGGCTGCAGTGCCCCTCTTCCGCAGCCTCCCGCAGCTCTAGGGGCTACAGTGGGTGGAGGGGCTGGAGGTCGTGGGTGGAGCAGGGTGCAGGGCGTGTGGATGGAGACGGCTGCCGGGGGGCGTGGGTGTGGAAGGCTGTGAGGGCATGGGTGTGGGGGTATGTGGGGCCGTGGGTGGACGGGTCTGCAGGGGGACGTGGGTGTAGGAGGGGCTAACAGGCACTATTAGTCCTAATAGGGAGCACTGAGGGGCTCAGCTCCTGCTTGGGCCTCTGCTGCCGCCCAGTGGCAGAGCCGGGCACTGCAGGGCTGGGGCTCAGTGTGCACAGGGGTCCGCAGTGTGGACCACTCTAAGCCGGTGTTGTGCCCCTCCGCGGCGGCCTGGCAGAGGCAAGAGACTTGGCCCCCCGGGTCATGCATGTCAGAACTCGGGGTGGGGCTCACGTTGACATCCAAGGCAGGTGTCTGTGCCCTGTGACACTGAAGAAACCAAGTGTCACGCTGCCTTTCAGATAAATCTTTCAAAAAAAAAAAAAGTGCATTGAAAGTAAAGCTAAAACCGTAGTTTATTTTGACACAAAGCACGTCTTAAAACAAAAGATGTTTAAAGACAATACAGAGAGAGAGGCAGACAAAGTGAGCGCATCTTCCATCTGCTGGTTTACTCTCCATCGGATGCAACAACCGGTGCTGGGCCGATCCAAAGCCAGGAACCTGGAGCGTCTTCCGGGTCTCCCCATGGGTGCAGGAGCCCAAGGAGCCATCCTCTGCTGCTTTCCCAGCTGCATTAGCACAAAGCCAGATTGCAAGTGGAGTGGCAGGGACACAAACCGAGCCCCTACGGGGTGCTGGTGCCCCAGTACACAATAATTTTGAAATCATGCCTATGTGAGGTCTTACAAAAGTCCATGGGGCCCAGCGTGGTGACCTAGTGGCTAAAGTCCTTGTCTTGCACACGCTGGGATACCATATGGGTGCTGGTTCAAGTCCCAGCTGCTCCACTTTCCATCCAGCTCCCTGCTTGTGGCCTGGGAAAGCAGTTGAGGACGGCCCAAAGCCTTGGGACCCTGCACCCGTGTGGGAAACCTGGAAGAGGCTCCTGGCTCCTGGCTTTGGATCGGCTAAGCTCCGGCCGTTGCGCTCACTTGAGGAGTGAATCATCAGATGGAAGACCTTCCTTTCTGTCTCTCCTCTCTATATGCCTATGTGAGGTCTGACTTTGCAATAAAAATAAATGAATATTTTTTTGGGCCCGGCGCAGTGGCGCAGTGGTTAAGGACCTCGCCTTGCATGCCCGGGATCCCATATGGGTGCCGGTTCTATCCCGGCAGCCCTGCTTCCCTTCCAGCTCCCTACCTGTGGCCCGGGAAGGCAGTTGAGGACGGCCCAAAGCTTTGGGAACCTGCACCCGCGTGGGAGACCCGGAAGAGGCTCCTGGCTTCGGATTGGCATAGTATCGGCCATTGCGCTCACTTGGGGAGTGAATCATCGGACGGAAGATCTTCCTCTCTGTCTCTCCTCTCTGTATATCTGCCTTTCCAATAAAAAAAATAATAATAAAAATAAATCTTTAAAAAAATATTTTTTTTAAAAAGCCCATGGAAAATGTACAATTATGAAAAAAAAAAACAACTATGCATGAGTACCAAAACAAAGCTACCCTTCCACTTTCTGCAAGCTTTTTGATGCGCTCTCTTGAGTACGCAGATGTGTTTATAAACATCAGCATGTGCTCATACATGAAAACACACATGAGGAGAAGCACCAGGTCAAACAGCTGAGGCTCACCTCCACGCTTGCTAACGCCATCCTGTCCAACACCGCCTCGAAGCAGAACAGCTCCAGGGGCCAGCCTGGTGGCATAACACGCTAATCCTCTGCCTGCAGCACCAGCTTCCATATGGGCACCGGTTCTAGTCTCGGCTGCCCCATTTCCTGTCCAGCTACTTGCTGGTGGTCTGTGAAGGTAGCCAAGGATGACCCTGCCCCCACGTGGGACACCCGGATGAAGCTCCTGGCTTTGAATCGATTCCGCTCCAGCTGTTGTGGC